GTGGTTACAAAGAAAGGATCAGACAATTTATTATTTATCTCAAAAGGTAATCGTATGAGGAAGTCTTAAAAGAATCACAAATCTAAACTTTTTGTTTTGTTTTGCTTTGTTTTTTGGTTTTTCAAGCCAGGGTTTCTCTGTGTACCCTGGCTATCCCAGAACTCACTCTGTAGACCAGGCTGGCCTCAAACTCACAGATACTAGCCTGACTCTACCTCCCGAGTGCTGGGATTAAAGGCGTGTGCCACCACTGGCCAGACTTAACTTTTATATATGAAAAGCAGTCATTTCTACTTTAAATCCTCAGGGTGCATACCCACTCATCAACAGTATTTTTTTATTAAATCATATCAGGAAGCTGAGGACAGGAATGGGTACAAGGAATTAATCATCACCCTTGATCACCAACCCATCCTAGCAAGAAAGGTGTATCAGGAAGCAATAGTGAGGCTGCCCTTGTTTTCTTCCCTGACCTCAACGAGCCCCTAGTTCATATTAAAAGTCCCCAGTTCATATTAAAAGTACCTAGTTCGTATTAAAAGTATGTCTTTCTAAGCTTTAAATTGTTCCCCCAAGATTTTCTACCCCAAAGTCACCAATAAAGACACCTTAACCTAACCTTAAGTCATTATTTAAGCCCTTCCTGGTGGGCTGAACTGAAAACTTCAACCACCACCTGCTGCGCCACTGACATGGCCAGCAGCACCACGTAACTTGCTTCTGCAAAGTATTTTGTCTTGGAGATTAGAAAAGCAACACACCGGACAGCCTCCAAAACAATACAGAGAAACCCTGTCTCATAAACAAACAAACAAACAAACAAACAAAAAAGCAACACACCTGGCTTGTGGGATTCTGCTCTCATTGTACAAAGCAAAGGTCAACAGAGAGCAAACTAAAGTCAAGGTGAGGGAAGGCTCCTGAGGAAGCGCCGCCAAATCCAGACCTGAAGGAAGAATAGGCATTGGCTATGAGGCAAAGCAGGACGTAAGCCAGGGAGTGAATACTGGGCGTAGAGACTGTATTAGACAAGACCAAAGACATGACAAAGAAGGGACCTTTGAGACTATGGCTGGGACACAAGACCACAGGGGAAACTGGTGGGGCACGCTGAAGCCTTGTGGATCCTGGGAAGTGACCTGGAGACTTTGCACGTAAGCCCCATAGTACTTGAGACTCAGGGTATGGTCTGCTCTCAATGAATAAGTCAGGAATGGGACTTAAGGATGGAAGGTGCTCCTGTGACTCACCGATGTGTGTGGGCGGCTTGTGCCCACTGGCCTAGTGCTTCCAGGACGCCGTGGAATGGCCATTCATACCCTGAGACTGGCTGCCCCAGTCACACGGTCCTAACCCCCCCACCCCCACCCAGACACTGTGACTTCTCAACACAGTTGCTTCCACGTAATAGGCCAACATATCAGAGGCTGGCAGTGGTACCAGTGGAGCCACAGGGCACCGCCAAGGGCTGTGATCTTTGCAAATTAGGAAGAGGTTGGGACTGGGGGGTTTCCTTCTCGAATGCCCTTCACCATCTGGAGAATGAATAGCAGAAGTCTAAAGACCACAGGTTTTGAGGACAGACAGTCTGAATTCAACTGTTTCTATATTTAGCTGTGTTACATGCAAGTTGTGAGTTTCACTGGCTAAAGGAAAATGTTAACACTACTCTCTGTGTGTGGGGTTACCAGAGCAAATGGTAGAACATCTGTCCCGTGGCATTCTGCAGTGCCTCGGGGCAACAAGCAGCAACGGAAAAAAAAGTGTCACCAAGGCTTATCAACAAAGTGACATCAGCAGAGGGGCTGGGAATGTGGCTGGAATCTGGTGTGGTGGCACACGCTTGTAATCCCAGCATTCCACCGTGGGAAAAGGATTGCAGCTTCAAGGTCACCCTCAGCTAAAAATGTTCTGAGAACTCTGATTTATCCAAACTGGTCACAAAGTGTCCTTACAAAGGCCAAGATATCTGGGACACAGTTTCCTAACTGAAATGACAAGTTTGAGTGAGGGGGAGCGTAGGCAGATTTGCAGGGAAAGAGCCAGAGGCAGAAGTGGGCCACTCAGAGTTGCCACTGTCGCCAACTGCCCACTCAGTGGGCTTTGGGTCTGAAAGGGCTGCAGCTTCGGGGTGGAAATGAAGCCAGATCACCTGAGGATGAGGAAAACACTGAACTCTCCCCACCAAGGCCTCATCTTGGCCAGGAGGCCCTGGGAAGAAGGGTGGCTGGAGTTGAAGTTACGAATTCCACAACAGTCTGAACCTTCAGAATGTCTGACGCCCTGGCCAAACTCGGGGCAACTTTTGGATCCAGGAAATTCTGTGAAGACGCATCTCTCCCAGGAGCTGGTGAGACCTGGGTTGAGAGCCAGGCAGGACCCAGACCAAGAGAGAGCAGCTCTGTGGCAGGACCAAACTGCAGGAGGAGTCCTCTGCCTTGCCTGCTCTGCTAGCTAGCTATCCCCAATACCCAGGCAGGGGACAGAGTGGTGCCACAGGAGCAGTGTGGCCATGGAGTCAGACAGACCAGGATCTGAGTGGAACTGAGTTTGAATCTGGCGTCATTAGCCACTGGGCACTCAGAAGGCAGCTTCCACATCTGTGGATGGGAGAGAAAACAAAGAACGGGAAAGAAGGAGGGAAGAAGGAAGTGGGTAACGGTGAGGAAAAGGAACAGACTGGGGGTGGGGAAGGAAGGGAGGAAGGGGAAGGGAGCTGGGTAGGGAAAGGCAGGGAAACTTCTGAACCCTGCATTATGGCAAGGGCCATGAGATGGAGTGGAAGGACAAGGAATCGAATTGAAACATCTCCAGGCAGAACGTCACACAGATGCCCTGTCCCACCTCTAAGACAACTAAGGTCTGCTCACGCGGGAATTTTCTAGACTTAGCCCCATGTACTGTAGAAGCAGCATCCTCCTGTGGACGATCCCATCCCAAGCTTCCTGCCCCTCTCGTCCGTAGCTGCGTGGGTTCGGAAGAGGTAGCTTGTGCTTTTTCTAGCCAGTGCCCACTTGGACTCAGTAAGCAAACCCCTTTATTTTAGATTAACATAGCTACGATAAACTTTAGAGTAAAAGTGACTTTTCTTGTTGGAAAGTAGGAGCTGTCACTGTCTACACTGATTTGCTTTTTTAAATTAAAATCAGAGCGAAGAGGCTTTTAAAAGAAAACACTGCATGGGGTGGGAACGAAGACCAACAGTGGAAGCTACGTGGCAGGGTGAGGCAAAGCCTGTCTGGGTGACAGTGAGTTCAAGGCCAACTTGGACTACTTAGTGAGACACGGACTCAAAAGGTGAAAAGAGGCGTGGAGATACAGCCTGGGGACTTGGATTCAATCCTCAGTACTGCTAAACAAAGAAGAAGAAAAAAAATCCTCTTGGGGATGGAGAGATTAATGGGGGATGTCCTTCTGTATGCTGTGAATACATGTTTCTCTTATTGGTTGATGAATAAAGCTGTTTCAGCCAATGGACAGACAGGATTTAGCCAGGCAGAAAACCCAAACAAGCATAGAGAAAGGTAGTAGGCAGAGTCAGGGAGACGCCATGTAGCTGCCGAGGAAGCAAGAGACCTGGGCATCACCAGTATGCCAAGACCACGTGGAGATACACAGATTAATAGAAATGGGTTATTAATTAAGAGAGAGCTAGCCAATAAGAATCCTGAGCTATCAGTCCAATAGTTTATAATTAATATAAGCCTCCGTTTGTTTATTTGGGACTAAATGGCTGCAGGACAGAAACTTTCATCTACAAGAGATAGCTCCAGGGTTAAGAGCACTGGCTCATCTTTCAGAGGTCTCCAGTTCAATTCCCAACATCCACTTGGCAGCTCACAACCATCTGTAACTCCAGTTCCAGAGGATCGGGTACCATCTTCTGGATTCTGTTATCACTGCATGCACATGGTACACAGGCACACATGCAGACAGAACACATGCACACAAATCAGCTAATTTTTAAAAACTGTAAAAACGAATCCTCTTTATCCAAAAGTAATAGCCATTACTATAGTAGTAGGTGTCTAGGAATTCCTCCCTATGGTGTCTACAAAGACAGAGCTCTATCTCGTGTTTGTTTGTTTTGTTTTCATAGAAACAGAGTCTTGAGTACACCAGGCTAGCCTCAACTCAATATGAAGCTGAGAGAAGCCATGATATTCACTTCACAATAAGAGCCCTGGAGACTCCGGAGCCAATCAGATTGTTTTGTGAACTTGCAGGTGGGTGTCAGCCCAGAGAAAAGGCAAAAGTAGTTGGTGTACCAAATTTGACACAAACTGGTTTTTATGTTCCTAACCATATATTTCTTTGCCCCCTTTAGTTCTCATTGGCTGAATTCTTCAGGGAGTGACAATCTAGTCTAGTATTGCCTCCTTCCCAAATTCCTCACCTTAATGGTTCAGGACACAACCCCCTCCTTTTCTGGTAGGTGGGGTCAGTTTCATGGGCAGACTAACTGTGACTTTCCAACCCTAGAACACACTAAGGGTGTCTAGAAAAGTTGCCAGGCAAAGGAGACAGGGGCCTGGTGTCCTCTGCTTATCTCTGATGAACCGTACCTAAGCACACCTCGCTGAAAATGGACCATAATGATTGATTTCTTACAGAGCCAAGATTGAGCCCAGGAGTCCCTTATTGCGCTGAGCCAGAACAGAATACAATAAAAAAAATCAAAATAGACCCACCCATGTTAAAATTTATCCCTCAGAAAGAGACTAAGCTGTTTATTGACCTTCTGGGAAATCAAGAGAAACCTGAGCTAATGGCTTGCTTTCCCAAACGCCAGGCTTTTGTTGTTATTTCTATCTTGCATTTATTCTCCAACAATTCCATACAAGCATCAATGTATCTTGGTGGTATCCACCCCCAACTCCCCATTCCCACACCCTGCCCCCTCAAGCAAAAGACAGAAAATGAAGTTTGCACGCTCTTAAAACTTACACACCAAAGGACCCCTGATGTTGTCCTGCTCCTGCCCACTCCACCTACAAAGAGTAACATGAAAGAGCTAACGGCTTTCCCTTCCGTGTCCCACGGTTTTTCAGCCATTCTCTGTTTGCAAAACCAGCCTCCGCTTGGCTCGGTTAGAACATTTTGTGTCGTGGAATGCAGTGTCTGTCCCCTGTTCTAAGATAGAAAACAAAGCTTTTAGGAACGTCCTTTCTGGTTAGTGACTGAACAGCCTGCGTTGTGACTTGTGTCCCGATTGGGAAGGACAGCCTCCTTAAACTCCCTAGAGCGAAGCAGGCGGACACGGACACTAACACTTCGGCCTCGAATTCCTGCAGAAACTGGAAGAAAAGCAGGACGCGCCGGGTGCCTTCCCTGGCTCCGCCTGCGGAACAGGAGACTACGTGCTGGTGACCTCGAACTCTTTTCTGGGTGCCTGATTTACAGAAAATGTTACTAATATCCCCGCCTCCACCCACGGCGGGGACCGCAGGCAGCGACACGGGGCGGCCCTAGGTAAATCCCCACCAGAGGCACCGCCCGAGGCTCCGCCTCCCTGGGCCGCCGCCTAGGTCACCTGCGGCCCACGGGCCTGGCGGCGGGCGGCGGCGGCCGGCCGCGGGGACCCCCGGGACCGAGATGTGGTGGGTCGGCCGGTGGGGCCCCCTGTTCCTGTGCCTGCTGGGTAGCGTCCCAGGTAAGCGCGAGCCTCGGGAGCGGCGTGGGTGAGCCACTCACCCGAGGTTCCGAAACGGGAGATGGGTGCTGGGCCACCCGGGCACTCAGGGACCCTATGCTCCCGCCGCGGGTTTGCTTGGCCCAGACTGAAGCAATCCTGAGCGTGGACGTCCTTTCCGGGAAGAAAGGAGCTGGGTTTCCGGAGACATCTGAAAGCGTTTACGGTATTTGTTCACCGAATCCCAGAGCGCGTACCTGATTGACTCTTAAGAAGGGGGCGTACCCGAGCTGCCCTCCTCTTCTTCAGGCTGCGGATCGGATGCCCCACCCAGGACCCCCGGGGACCCTGCTCTGGATGATCTGGCCCCTGCTATGAGACTTAACAGGGAGTTTTCTCTCTTGGTCTCTCAGCTAGTAAATAAAATGACAAGGCACAAAATACCCGAGGCCAGGACCCAAGCACAAAACCCCAACTTTGCACCGATCAACTGTCCCGGGGAGGAGAACCCTTCTTGGAAGCCATGGATGTGCCTCAGAGTCACAGCAGAAAGTGCTGGAAGGGTTCTAAGACTAAGTAAACGATCATAATAGTCTGTATTTTTTTAGTTGCTTCTTTGTGCTGTGCACTGTATTCTTATTAAAGTGCAGCCCAGGTGCCCTATGAGGCAGAGGTGAGGGAAACTGAGTCTCAGAACACTTAAGAGGTTGCCTTAGAAGTACCCCAGAGAGGGACACGCAGGGCAGAGTTGTGGAGCTGAAGGGAGTAGAGCTAGCCTGAGTCTTGGGTTCGCCCAGGCTATCGATGCCTCGAGCACCTCACAGTTCTGCCGCGATGTTTTTTTTTTTTAATTAATGAGGGTCTTCGGGGTCGAGTATGTTCTATCCCCAACACAAACTTTGACTCTGAGCCTAGTGTCTCTTCCACAAAGGATGTGAGTTGACACCCTGAGTGGTGGTGGCCAAGCTCAAACTTTGGGACTGCCCTGCTCGTGGATGGGTTAAGACTAAGGGGTTATGCGCAGACTGGCTGGGTGCCTGCCTAGCAGACTGACCACGGTGACAGTGTCTCAGTGATGCAGCTTCAGGGTGTTGGACAGAATTAGAACTGGGAACCCACATCTGGGTCTGAAATACCTGAGGCAGTGAGGCAGAGAGACAGCATGTAGAGCTGGGATTACCTTACCTGGTACCTGAAATATACTGGTCTCCATGGTGACCCATGTGACTGGATTCTCCCTGGGACCAAGAGCTCCCCCGGGCAGGAGATGGAGCTGTTTCTTCTGTTCCCTGGCACACTGAGGAATGTAGGAAACATGGGTTACAGTGGTCAACAGGTATGGTTGCTCATGCCTGTAATCCTAGCACGCGCATGCACACACACACACACACACACACACACACACACACACACACACCATAGACTGAGCCCAGGATATACTGGAAGAGGAAGTAAGCCCAGAGCACAGACCCGAGAGCTGCCATGATCTAGACTGGGGTGTCTAAGAGGGCCTTAGTTTCCCCACCTGTGTGCAAAGCTCCTAAGTCACCCTCCAAGTGTTCAGCACAGCTAACTGGAAGCTACAGCCCAGTACAAAAGGGGCTATTGTTACTCTGTTGTCATCATCACTGTTTCCTCTTAGAGATGTCAAGGCGGGTTACCTGGAGGAAGTGACATTTGGATAGAATCTTTTAGAGATTAGCTGGTGAACTCCAGGTAACCCAAGACACCAAGGTTCAAAGGCATCCAAATGATGGGACCTGCAGCTTTGGGAGCCTATGGGAAGCTGCCAGGCCACCTAGACAAGTCCTTGAACACCTGGATGAGGATTATGAACTTTGTTCTAGGCAGAGAAAGAGCAGGAAGCCCAGGCGTGGAGCAATCAGCTGCCCATAATTAGTGTAACTAGGTATCTATGGAAGAGGATGTAAACAGAGGCCAATAAAAGGTGGCCAAGGAATATGTCACATCGAGACAGTGCCATCAAACGAATGTAAAGAAGCCGGTGGGATATCTAGATGTTGGGAACATATGCAAAGGCTCAGAGCAGAGTACTCCCGGAAGAGAGGCACGGGGCATCCTGGGACCCCTTGGAGGTTCCAGCAAAGGCTTTGGGTTTCCTTGGAGGAAGATAGGTGGAAACCTTGGAAGGGTTAAGCAGAAGGCAGACATGGTGTAACTTTCATTGTAAGCCTTGCATTTGTTCAGAGGGTGGACTGAAGAGGGTTAGGGTTAGAGTTAGGGTTAGGGTTAGGGTTAGGACTTTCTGAGAATCCCCAGATAACTGAGGATTCCAGTAGGAGGGGATGTCACTGCCCGCATCCTCACAGACACTGCAGGGGAGCTGGCTACGGTGTTTTTGATGTGGCTTTCTTGGTGAATAAGTTCTCTGTTCATTGGTGTGATAAAACACAGTAGAAGCCACTTAAAAGGGGAAGGATGTGTTGGGCTCAGGGTTTCAGAGCCTCTACAGCCATCGTGTCCAGGAAAGCATGGCAGAGTGGCTCTAAGCTGTGGCAGCCGGAGCGTGTGGTGGGTCATTGACGTGGACTGGACCCAAAGCAGAGAGAATGAACTGGAACATGGGCTGGGTATGTTGCTCAAAGGCTCACTCCCGGTTACATACTCCACCAGCCAGCTTCCACATCCCATGGGCTCCACAACTTTCAAAATGGCATTAAGAGCTGGGGACCAAATATTCAGAATATGAAACCAGAACACACAGGACACTTCTTATACCTGGTAGAGTGCCTAGGACCCAGTTGTCCAACAACCCAGGTACCCCTCATAGAAGAAATCAGTTTATCCTGAAAAAACTCCTGTGGCTCTCGTCTGACTGGTGCCCACTTTAAACCCACCTGACCATCACCTTGGCACTGAGCGCTGGCCCTGTGTTGTCTATGGTACCCTAGGGAGAGCCCAGACTAATTCTTCAATGAAAAGTGCAGATTCAGTACATAACTATAGGTGGAAACAAGACCAAGGATCCTGGACAGGGAGGGTGTGACAAGGCAGGAGGATTGTCCCCTCCCATTCTCTGGGTCAAATGAAGCAGGTGTACAACAGATTAAGCAGAAAGGGGGAAACAACTTATAGTCTGTGTGAGGGAATGTCTGGGAACCACCTTGCATTCATGGGCAGGTGCCGGAATGGTCCAGTTAAATAAGCAAGCCATGGGGAGTGAGGTGGTAAGGTGGAAAGGTTTGAGTAGGCTCAACTCTGGCTGCATCGCTTGGGATGGCAGCTCTGTGCCTGCCACCTAGGCAGCAAGCATCACTGTTCCATCAGCAGGGAGACCTATGAGGGGCCCTTTAAGATTATAGCAGTATCTATTCACCCAACACACATGTATCACATGTGCACTGTGTTTCAGGAGTCATCCCACATAAGCACTGGAGTCACAGGGAGAACATAACAGAGAAGATTTGGTGGGTAATATCGTCCAAACCTGATGACCTGAGTTTAGTCCTCAAGACCCATAGTGGCAGGAGAGAACTAACTCCTCAAATTTATCCTCTGACTTCTACACATGTGCCATAGTATGCACACACCCATACTCATACATATATGTCACACATGCACAAACACATATGTATATGCACACACATATATACTAATAATAAATTAAAAGTTTAAGAAGTTAACATCAAAAGCAATCCTTGCACCAAGCATCTTGTGGAGTTCAAGAGGGGTTGCCCCATGGCAACCAGGTAGAACCCACCCTTGGGTGCCAGAGTACACAGAGCTGGCTCTCTTGGCACAGAAGGGACACTGAGGGAGGGTTGGGGAGGGGAAGGGCTGCAGTGTAGCAGCTGGCAGATGCTGGTCCTCACAGGTGGCAAGGAACTGAACACATGTCATACATCTCATTCTCCAGCTATGGATACCTGTGCCAAGCTTAGCCAAGAGCTCCAGCCTTCATGACCTCTCTCTCTCCCACAGGACAGTCCCGTCTAGCCCCACCCAGAAACGTGACACTGCTGTCCCAGAACTTCACAGTGTACCTGACATGGCTTCCAGGACTTGGTAGCCCCCCGGATGTGACCTATTTCGTGACCTACCAAGGGTACAGGGGTGCCTCCATGCTGGTGGTCGGGGAGATGGAGTAGTGGGTGAGGGATGGAAGGGTTTCCCTGGGCTCTCTGCATCCATGTGTTGGCATTCAGAAGTTCTCTGTGTCTCTGGAAGATGCTCTTACTAGAGGTTAGAGATGGTAGGTAAGATAATCGGTGGAGAGTGGAAGATTATGGGCTTTCTGGAGACGGGGTGGGTCTTTGTGTAAGGTTGGAGTGGGCTTGAAAGGAGCTGTAAGGGCCAAGGAACCAGAGGACAGAAGTCCTTGGGGTTTGTATTGGTCACTTTTCTGTGGCTGTGATAAAACACCAGAGCCAATGCAACGTATGGATGGAAGTTTATTTCAGCTTAAGGTTCTAGGAAAAGTCCATGATGCTACGTAGAGGAGGCAGGGCGGCAAGAGCAGGAAGCCGAGAGATGACATCTTTGGCTGCCTGGGGGACCAGCCTCCAGTAGCTCAGGGCTCAAAGGGAATCCACGGAGTCAGTAAAGGAAAAGACACTCACACACTCTCTTTATTATTCTGTATTCTGACTGTTTTCCTCTACAGCTTTTATACCCCAATAAAATCTCTCAGGCAATATAGAAATTACAATGTGGTTACATTCTATTTTTCAAGTGAATGATTACATTGAATACAAGTAAGAAACATGTTTTTCATTACTCTTATTTGATTAAACATTTCATGTATTACGGTCACATGTTACAGGTGAAAAACAAATTATCCCTAAGAACCCACGTTCCTTCACACCCAAGCAATTTGTTGTAGATTAACAAAGTGTAAGTAAGCAAGGTATTTTTCTCAGCCAGTTCTTTTAATGACAGGCTGCATTTTTATGGTTACAAAGAAAGAACCAATTATCTTATTATTTACCTTGAAAGGTAATCTTAGAAGGAATCTTAAAGGAATCGTAAGCCTAAACTTTTAAAATAGTCAGTTCTACTCTAAACCTTCAGGGTACACACCCCACTCATCAAATGGTTCTTTCTATCAGGACATTGAGGGCAAAATTGGGTAGAAGGAATTAATCTTCATCTTTGATCACCCGTCAATCCTCCAAAGGAAAGTACGTCATCTAGTAATAATTGAGCGGCTTTACTTTTTGATTCCTAACCTCAAAGCTATTATCAAAATATCGTAATCTAACCCGAGGTCATTCTAAGGCTTTGTTTCAGCTGTGGTGCATACCAAAACCCGTGAATGCGTATATAGTTTGCTTGTTTATGCTGTTCTCCAAATGATTTGGATTTTGTTGATTGTTTTTAATTCCATGTACTTCCATACTCTAGATTAGTCACCATTTTAAATATCTGTTAGTATGCATGTGCCTGTTGGAATGTGCATGATGTGGGGGGGGGGGGGATACACAAAGGTCAGAGGACAATATTATGGAGTCAGTTTTCTCCTCCACTTGAGTTTTAGGGATTGAGTTTGAGTCACCAGGCGTGTGCAGCCACCTTGGTAGTACCTTGTTTTCCTTAAGGCATGTCTGACATGATTGTAGCTGGCAGCGCCACTTTTGTTGCTTTCTGGTTGAGCTCATGTTTCTGTTTGAATCGGCACTTTTGAGTTAAAATTTGCATACTCATAGAACAAACTACTCCCCACGGATGTATGCACGCAACCACCCCTACAATGAAGGTGTGGAACATCCCCACTAGTCGCAGAGGTTCTATCGGGTCTCTTGGCATTTCAGTCCCCACCCCCCTGATCTGGACAGCTGGCTACCCATCTGCCTCTGACACTATTGATTAACCTTGTTTGTTCCTAAAGCTCATATCAATAGCTTTGTAACCAGGCGTGGTGTTCCATGCCTGTGATCCCAGCTCTAAGGAGGCTGAAGCAGGAGAATTGTTCTGAGTGTGAGGTGAATTCCAGACCAGCCTCAACTACAGAATAAGATCCTATTCCCCAAACAGAGAATGGGCTTGTGTGGTGTGCCCCCTCTTGTGCCTGGCTGGCTTTGCTTAGCACCTTTCTGGAATCTGCCCACACTGTTACATGCATCCTTGATGTCCTCTTCACTGCTGGGTCATATTCCAGTCTCGACTATACTTGTCCTTGTTTCTCCACTTTCCTCTCTAGATTTTGGGGTTGTCCAGTTTGGGGTGTGTATCCGCTTGCTGGGACGGTTGCATACTCTTGCCAGTACTCCCCCAAACTCATGTTCTCCTCATATGCAAAATGCATTCACTTGTGTCTCAACCGCCCCAAAGGTCTTACCTCACTCCAGCATGCGCTCAGTCCAAAGTTCTGTCTAAATACTATCTGGATCAGGTGTGGGCGTGCCTTAGAACATGACTCATGCTGAGGCAGAATTACTCTTCATCAGTGGACCTTGGAAGCCAGATGAAGGCACATGCTTCTAAATTGAAATGGTGTGAGATAGGCATGTCCAGTCCCAGAGGGAAGGTCAGGAGGGTGATGGAATGTCAGTCACACCTGGAGAGGCAATGCCAGTAAGGTTGTTTCTTTTTTTCCCTTGGTTTGATTGTTTTAAAAAGATTTATTGCTGGGAATGATGGCATATGCCTTTAGTCCCAGTACTCAGGAGGCACAGGCAGATGGATCACTGTGAGTTTGAGGCCAGCCTGGTCTACACTGTTAGTTCCAGAACAACCATTACTACATAGTAAGACCCTATCTCAAAAAAATCAAAACCATAATTGTGTGTGTGTGTGTGTGTGTGTGTGTACCTGTGAATGTACATGTGGGTACAGGTACTCACAGACGCCAGAAGAGGGCATTAGATACCCTGGAGAGGGAATTACAAGTGGTTGTGAGCTGTCTGGTGTGGGTGCTGGGAACTGAACTCAGGTCCTCTGCAAGAGCTGCAAGTGCTCATAACTGTCGAACCATCTCCAGCTGCCCCATTTGTTTGGTTCTTAAGACAGGGTTTCACTGTGTACCTCAGGGTGGCCTCAGACTTGTTCTACTCCTCAAATGCTTGAATTACAGGCATCTGCCACTTTACCCAGATTTGTTGATATTTTTTTAGACAGGATCTCCCTATGTAGTCTAAACTGGCTTAGAATTCACAATGTAGCCCAGGCTAGCCTAGAACTCATGATCTCCTGTCTCAGCCTCCCAGGTGCTGGGATTACAGCCACCATGCCTGGCTCCATTTAAGGCCCCAGAAACTATCCTTTTCGGCTCATTGTTCTGGCCTTGGGCCCACTGGGCTGGCCGTTGTGAATCTTGAATACAACAGTCTGGAGGACGCTCCCCTTTTTCCTGTAAGATAGCCCTGACCCCGGGAGAACTGTGTCCCAGCAATTGGGAAGACAGCCTTGCCTTAACCCCATTGATCTCTCAGTCATCTTCACGGTCTGTCTTCCCTTGTCCCAAACAGTGATGCAAGTTAACCTACAAACAACTCTTTTGTCCCCTCTGGTCAGCATACTTCATTTTGTCCAGTCTCCTCCCTTTCAGTCAAAGCTGGCAGCGGCTCTGCTGGAGTAATCCCTCCTCCACTTCCGGTTCCTGACTAGGGAGCTGACTGCATCCGTTAATTACACCCAGGAATTCTTTTTTGTTGAGATGTCTTTATTTCCATGTGCATGGGTGTTTTGACTGCATATATGTAAATGCTCCAGTGCGGTGCCCACCGAGGCAAGGAAATGGTGTTGGATCCTCTGGAACTGGAGTTACAGATGGTTGTGAGCTGTCATGTGGGTCCTGGGAACCAAACTCAGGTCCTCTCTGCAAGAGTAGCAAGGGGTCTTAGCTACAGAGATAACATCCAGGAATTCTTTATCAAAGGAGCTTCCAACCACAATGTTGCTGTTCTCTCCAGAACACTTGTTTTGAAACAGTGTTTCATGTAGCCTTGAGCTCACTAAGTAGTGGAGGATGGCCTTGAACTCCCAGTCCTCTATTTCCCAAGTTCTGGGATTACAGGCATTCACTGCCACATCCAACTCCTTACTTGTTTATTTTGCTGTATGGATAGGCTGAGACTTGATATTTTTCCAAATCTTTGAGCTCTGGTTCATTTTTGCTTGAACAGCCTCTCACCTTTTATAGTAAGCCAAAATTGGGCCACACCCTCAACACCTTGCTTAGAAATTTCTTCAGCTAAATATTCAAGTTGAGGTCTCTTAATGTTTACTTTCGACAAAACACTAGAACATAGTTCAGCTTAATGCTTAGCTACATAGATACAGATATATAGATATAGTTATTGTAACAAGAACTACCTCCCCTCTAGGTGACAGTAACATAGTGAACGTCCTTTTTGTCTGGAACCTCACTAGAACCATCCTCTGCAGCAGTTTAAGAAATGTCCCCATAAACTCAGGTATTGAACACAGTTGGCGGTGCTGTTCTCTGTAGCATCCTTACTCAGCTTCTCCATTCTCCCATGACTCATCCATCAAATCCAGGAGCATCCGACTTCCTGTCCTCACACTGCACACCCAAGCTCTGAGCATATTTTACTGGTTTTACCTCCAAAATATATCCTGGATATACCTATTATCTCCTTCTCCGCCACCCGCTGTCTCTGACACTGCTGCAGCCTCCTACTCTGCTTTCAGAGTCATCTTTGAAATGGCATTTTACTGTGTTAAAATTATTATTATGTGCATGCATATCACAGTGTGTGTGTGTGTGTGTGTGTGTGTGTGTGTGTGTGTGTGTGTGTGTGTAGGTAGGTCAGGGGATAAGTTTGTAGAGTCAGTTTTCTATTTTCTTTCAGTGGTGTGTGTTTTTTTGGTTGTGATTGATTGATTGACTGACTGACTGACTGACTGATTGATTGATTGATTGATTTTTGATACAAGGTCTCACTATTTAACCCTGGCTGTCTTGAAACTTTCTATGTAGACCAGGTTGGCCTCAAACTCAGAGATGGGCCTGTGTACATGCTGTGATCAAAGGCATGCACCACCATACCCAGACTCTACTTCCCTCTTTACATGAGTTCTGGGATCAAACTCAGGTGGCCAGTATTGCACGGTATGCGCCTTTACCTGTGGGACTGTCTTGCCAACTCCAAGGGTGACCTTTTAAAAATGTGTTAGATCACTTCAATGTGCCTCGGCCTGCACGGTGCTCTAACAAAGTACTTTAGTCTATGTAAGTTAGAGACAGTAACTATCTCTCATATTTCTGGAGGCTAATGAGTCCAAGGTGAAGTCGCTGGCAAATCTGGTATCTAGAGAGGGACACTTCTGAAATCATGCCTTCTCACCTTGTCCTTGCATGGCAAAGATAACAACCCTGTGTCCTCAAGTGGAAAGAGGCAGGGTGTCTGGGCGGCTCTCTGAAGACATGCTTAGAAGGCCATCCTTTCTAGACATATTGTCTTCATGATTTAATACCCAGAAGGCATCACTCTGGGGTTTAAACTCCAACATTCATTTCTAAGCATCCAGTGGCCTCCCACTACACTTGTGATAAATTCACACTCCTAGCCCAGACCTGCAAGTCCCCTGGTTGCCACCTCCTGTCCCCCTCATCCCCTGCAAGTCCCCTGGTTGCCACCTCCTGTCCCCCTCATCCCCTGTCCACCTGGGTCTCACATCCCTTATCCACTGGGCTTTAGCTCTTTGGCTTGCATGTCTCTGGATATGCCAAACTCCTCCCCATGCATCCTAGTGTGCTCTCCATTGCTGCAATAAATGCCATGATCCAAAGCAACTTGAGAAGGAAAGGGTTTATTTGGCTTACATGTCCAGATCACAGTTGATCACTGAAGGGAGTCGGGGCAGGAACTCAAAGCGGGACAGAACCCGGGAAGCAGGAACTGAAGCAGAGACCGTGGAGGGATGCTGCTTACATGCTGCCCTTCATGGCTTCTTCTGTCTACTTCCTTAAATAGCCAGGACCACCTGCTCAGGAGTGGCACCACCCACAGTGGACTTCGCCCTCCTACATCAGTCATTGGTTAAGAAAATCTCCCACAGAGTTGCCCACAGGCCAATCTGATGGAAGCATTTCTCTCAGTTCAAGTTCCCTCTTCCGGCCTGGTATTGTCAAGAGCTCCTCAGCACACATCTCAGGCCTTTGTTCTGTCTCTTGGTCTCCCACCCCATCACCTGGCTTCCTCTTTCCTCCTCGCTGGGGAGCACCGTCGTCTCCCTGGGGAGCACCATCTCCCTGGCCTCTTCTGAGCTGCCCTTTGAGAGCAGCCTCCCTCTGTTTTTATCATTTTATCACTGCGCCTGCTACCTCCTGGATTTACCTTGTAGGCGTGATAATTGTCCCTTGTTCCCTCCCATCAGCTGTGAGAACCTTGGGGAGGCAGAACCTCATTTGCCACGCTTTGCCTATTTATTGGTACCTGGAAGAACACCGGGGCATAAGTCCTGAGGATGTTGCAGTCATATGAAGCCCTCTGTGTTTCCCTCTGCCATTCACTCAGCCCCCAACATGGCCCCTGGCCTTCATCCAGTAGCCTCCAGATGTCCGAGCAAATCAACACACAGAAAGTATCACTAATATGAGTGACCGCGGCTCCACCATGGCCGTGTGAGGAGGCACTACAGATGGGAACCTGGGACGGAGAGGCAGTGCCCTGTGGAAGGACCCAGAGATAGTGAACACAGACAAGACTGCCACCCACACTTGTCTGCTAATGGCTGCCTGCTGCATCTGGCTGACACGTGGGATATATTTGGGGAGGGTCAGGTCCTCTAACCCAGAGGGGTCCACAGCCCACCCTCTTCTGTCTCCCCCTCAGCTATCCCAGCTACCAGCGTTGGCAAAAAGTGGAGCAGTGTGCAGGCACCAAGTCTCTGGTGTGTCCCCTCATGTGCCTGAAGAGACAGGATCTGTACAACAAGTTCAAAGGACGGGTGCAGGCAGTTTCTGCACGTGGCAAGTCCCCACAGGTGGAGTCCAAGTACCTGCATTACCTTTTTGACGGTAAGTCCCAAGGCTGGAGAAGCATTTGCTATTCTTGCAGAGGACCACAGTTTGGTTCTCAGTACCCATGTCAGGAGGCTTGCAATAGACTGTCAGCCCAGTTCTTAGGAAGTGGATGCCGTCTTCTGGCCTTGTTTGTCATGTGCACACACATGTGCACATACATACGTACATACATACATGCATGCATACATACATACATACGTATGTATATACATAAAATACATATTGGCAGTTGGTCCTTTTAATGAAGATGCTAAGTGAGCAGCTATCCCTCCTAAGAACACTGTCCAACCCAACAATCTTGTGTGTGTATTAATATGTGTGAATGTGTTCATGTGTGTGTACATACATGTATGCATGTGTGCATGTAGGGGTCATAGGGCAACCTCTAGTGTCACAGTTCTTCAGGCACAATCCTTTGCTTTCCAGATAGAGACTGACCTGGAACTTGCCAAGCTGGCCAGACTGGCCTCTCTGGTCCAGAAGTCCAGGCAGCTTCACCACCCCTCTGCGCGGGTCTCACCACCCCCTTCCCAGGTCTCACCGATCCTCCACCTGGGCCTCACCATAGACGCTCAGGGCAGAATGAACTTCTGAGCTAATTCCGGTTGCCAGGCCGAGGTCCCGGACCCCTCACTGCTTACCAGTTAGGAACCTCTCCAAGCTGCTAGGACGCCTGCATTTCTCCTCATGCTCACACCACCCCCTTCTGCTAACCGGAAGTGGCACAACTGTGTCCCAGTCTCAGCACCTCCCCCTCTTCTCTGTTGCCAACAGCAGCAGAAAGTCCTCCCCGCTTAAGGCTCTGGGCCTATGTGCAGGGCCCAAGGATAAACTCACCATTTTAAGGCTCTGAACCTTAACTGGAATTTTCTTTTGCCGCTCAACAACGACACAGTAGACTGGCCACATCCAGGGATCAGGGTAGAACATCTTTGGAGGGGGTTCTGCCTGCCATGGCTTTCCTCTTGCCCCCAGATTCATACCTTTTGCAAATGCAGAATTTATTCACCCCATGTCAAGGTCCCCCAAAGTTCCCTTTTATTATGACATCAACTTAAATTCCAGATCTTCTGGGTGGTGTCTGAACCAATACATCAGAGGATGGCTTGGGTGCAGTCCACTCAGTATGGTTTCTGGGCATGGTTCCTCTCCACCTGTGAGCTGGCGAGACTGAAGTATACAATCTCTGTTCCCTATATAAGATATGGGAGGGGAAGGCAACACTAATAAAAGCTGAGGAGACACAGGAAATGGGGGCATTAGTCCAAAGCAGCTTTAAAATCCAGCCAGGCAAACAAATGCCATTCAGGTAGACAGTCTGGGACAATTCTCCTTGACTCCCAGAGAAGACCTTTGACCTTTGGCTTCCACTTCCAAGGCAGGCTACCTTCTTCACCATGGGCTCTAAGTACCCACAGCCAAGGTTTTGCCAGCCTCCATCTTAGCAGAAATGAAGTCAATGGCTTTCTTTGATCTCATACACAAAAGACGAGGTGGCAATGTTTCTGTAAATATAAGAATCTCAAGAATTACGGATGTCCTGTGGCTGCTGTAAGAGTCACCCCTATGGGACATCTACTGCTATGTCTAGGCACATTGTGCTGGGTTGCTTTCCCTGGACATCTTTGACTAACCCACCTTCCCACCCCCCGCCTTTCATCTCTCTGGGGCAGCAAGAGACAGACCTAAGTTTTGTGAGGTTACCGTCTGGCGTTCACAGTCCTCACCCGTGTCCACCCTTCCTCACAGACTCGGCCAAAGCCAGAAGGATCCAGACTCCCATCCAGTACCTACCCAGTACTAGTAGTGTATTCTGGCAAGTTTTAGCTTCTAGGGTCTTGCTTTATTTTTAAAAATTGAGTTGGTGAAGACTGGGGAGAGATCTCAATGGTCAAATGCTTCCGTGAATCCCAGGTCCAGTGACAGAGCCTGACTCAAAAGATAAGGTGAGGCTCAACAGAGGAAGACACACATGGACCTCTGGCCTCTGCACATGCACTCACAGGTGTGCTCTCCCACACAAACGCGTGCACACTGCACATAGTGGGGATATGCGCTCACCCACACAAACGCGTGCACACTGCACATAGTGGGGATATGCGCTCACCCACACAAACGCGTGCACACTGCACATACACAGTGGTGATATGATGTTTCCCTCTCTGGGTCAAGGAAAGGCAAGTAAAAGGGCTGTGAGGAGCTTGCAACATAGTAGATATTTGAAAAAAATGCTAATGTGACTCCTCCCCAGGCAGGACAAACAGGAGACTGGGCTCCCAGAGTTTTTTGACAGGTCCTACTCTGTTTCTGACAGTGGAGCCAGCCCCGCCCACCCTTGTGTTCACCCAGATGGAGAAGATCCTGTGGGTCAACGCCACCTACCAGCTGCCGCCTTGCATGCCGTATCTGAACCTAATGTATGAGGTGCAATTCTGGAAGGAGGGCGTGGAGCACAAGGTAGGAAACCCTGTGCTGTCCTGAGCAGGGTCTCCTCCCAACTTCTCACACTGCTTCCTGCACTTTCCTCCGAGAATTCTCCCAAGGCTCCCTGACTCCAGTCGGCCCTTGATGATGTGCAAGGCCGATGGCCTGTTCAGCAGGAGATCGCTTTGCCCCTCACAGAACAGGCCTCAACCGCACCATAGTTCTCCTCTTGGAAACTGTAGGGTGGAGCACAAGCCCAGCGATGTGTGCACTTGAGTGTGCCAGCGCACACCCATGTGTATGTGTGTTCATATGGAAACCTCAAGGTGTCATCATCACTTTCCACTCTTTTTTTTTCCTAGACAGGGTCTCACCATGTAGCCATGGCTGGCCTGGAACTTGTTATGTAGACCAGGCTGGCCTCAGACTCACAAAGATCTGAATGCCAGGATTAATACTCCACCTTGGGCTTTTTTTTGTTGGTGTTTTGTTTGTTTGTTTGTTTGTTTGTTTTGTTTTTGACACAGGGTCTCTCAGTGAACCAGGCACTGCAGATTAAGCTAGGCTAACTGTCCAGCAAGTCCAGGGATGATGCTGTCTCTGCCTCACTAGCTCTGGTAATACAGGCATGCCCAGAGTTTTATGTGGGTGCCAGGGATCAAACTCGGATCCTCATGCTTACAAGGAGAGCATTTTATAGACTGAGTCTCTCCCCAGGTCCCACCTCCCATAAAAGTTTGAGTGAAGTGTTTTGGACTGCAGGAAATCGATTCTTCCAGTCACCAGATTCATTACAGAAAGTCCATAAACATCCAAATGATCTGCAAGCAAAGAAAAAGCACCCAGGGGTGACTGTGGATGGCTCTTTGCACATTCAGTTCCCAGCACAGTCCAGGAGCAGGCCTGAATATTCACTCACGACAGACTAGAAAACAGGCCTGAATACTCACTCACGACAGATACTCACTCACGACAGGCTAGAAAACCTTTTCCTATACAGGGCCAGAGAGTCAATATGTTTGCCACTGTGGCCTCAGAGTCTGAGCTCCACAGCTGTAACTCAAAAGCAACCGCTAGTAGGCAATATGGAAGAAGTGTGTGTTGCTGGGTTCCCACTTATTAAGCTAGGCGGTGGGGTAGATTTGGCATGACTGTGGCTCGATGATCCCAACTCCAGTTCACTCTTTCTAGGGTTCACGCCTGTGACCCTAGGGATGTGAACCTAAGTTGGCTGCTGCCTTCTGGAAAATCTCAGGAATAGTGAAACATCGCCCCCATACTCCATCAGCACATACAATTTGTCCAAATCTGGGTCTCATTGTGCAGTCCAGGTTAGCCCAAACTCCATCCTCCTGCCTCAGCCTCCTGAATGTATATTGGGATTACAGGTACATGCCAGCATGCTTGAATTAAATGCGCATAATTTTTGTAAGTTGATAAAAAATAAACCTTCTAGCTAGCATTGCCCATCAGGAGCATATTACAAGCCATGTATGTCATTTAAAAATTTTTACTGCCTATAGTTATTTTGTGTGTGTGACTTTGTGAGGGCAGGGCAGGCGTGCATGCCACAGCATGTGTCTAGAGGTCAGAGGACAACTTTATGAAATGAGTTCTCTCATTGGATTGAGCTTAGATCATTAGGCTTGACAGCAAGCAACTTTATTACATCATCCTACTGGTCCCAAGTCATGTAAAATGTTCCTCGTTAAGTTAAAGGAGCCAGTTTGAGGGAGGGGAGGTGGTTGAGATAGGATTTCTGATATGCTGATATGCCAGCCTGGCCTTGAACTCGCAATGTAGCCAAGAATGACTTTGAACCCCTGACCTTCTTCCTCCTGCCTCCACCTCCTAAGTGTTGGTATTACGGGCATGCACAACCTTGCCTAGCTTGACTTTAGCTTTTTGTTTTGAGACAGGGTCTCTACATAGCCCTGGCTATTGTGGAACTCACTGTATAAATCAGACTGGCCTCAAACTCACAGAGATGCGCCTGCCTTTTATCCCATAGCATATTGCTTTGTCAACATGGAATTAATACGATTGCTGTTTGGCCTTCTTTTTCTCCTCTGTCTTTGGAAACGGATAGGCAATTTGTATTCAGGGCATATTTCCCTTCTCACTAGCCACCTGCCCCTGCTTTGGGCTACTAGGCAGCTGGGGCAGCTCCTAACATGCAGTGATTGAATGACCCTTATCCCCAGTGGATGTGGGTCCCTGTGGGCCTTGGTGAGCTACATGGGAATGACCCCAAGTAGCAGGCTTCTTTTGAACCCCAATGATCTGTACAAGGAAATTCAGCTGAGAAGAAACCAGGAAGTAGAAAGTTCCCTTAGTGCTTGCACTTTTTAAAAAATATTTACTTATTTACGTGTATTGGTGTTACGTTCATATGCTCATTTGCACGCCAGAGGAGGGTACAATTATAGACAGTAACTACAGTTATAGATAGTAGAAAGCTGCCATGTGAGTGCTGGGAATTGAACTTGGGAACTCTGGAAGAACAGCCAATGCTCTTAGCCACTGAGCCATCTCCCCAGCCCCAATGCTTGCGCTTTAATGTAAGAAGAGAAATGAAAGCTCCCGAGTCCCATTCTATCTCGCCTGGCCACCCCTCCGCGTGTACCCGCCATCCGTTGGGTGCATGCCCATTGCTTCTCCATACAGACACAGTTCTCTGCCACGGAGCACAACAAGCCCATGGAGATCCCTCTCCAGCAAGGTGCTAGTGGACGCCACTGCCTCAGCGCCAGAACCATCTACACCCTCACTGTGGCCAAGTACAGCCACTTCTCTGAGCCCAGTTGCATCTTTATAGAGGCCCCAGGTGAGTGGAAAATGGCCCTAGAATGGGAACTTCCCTCTTTCGGAAGCCTCATGATAGAATTGTTGAAAGTATAAGCTGAGAGATGTGTTCGCTTATGGGAATTCCAGCTCTACCGCACTGCCTGTGTGTCTTTGGGTAGTTTACACAACCTCTCTGAGCCTCAGCTTCCACCAGAACAGGCTTATTCTGTCTGGAGTTTTTATGTTCTCTCCTCCCTAGGAGCCAACTGGGCTGTCCTGCTGCCCTTACTCTCGCCTCTACTGGTGGCAGCTGCAGCAGCAGGTGTGATCTGGAAGAGACTGGAAGGGGATCCCTGGTTTCAGTGGGTGAAGACGCCTCACGCACTGGTATGGCGCGACTAGGGTGTATGGGAGGCATGGAGGGTATGTAAAAGTGGGGTGTTGAGGAACAGACAGTGAGGCTGAGTTTGCAGTGCCTCAGACAGCATGTAGAGATGGCCCAGACTGTAACATTGGCTATCTTGTCTCGGTCTCTAAATTCCCACCTCTGGCAGTGCAATCCCACAGCAAGTCTGCCCACCAGGGAGACGTGCCTAAGTCCCTTTCCATGTAATCACATCATCTCTGCTAAGGATTTGCCAGGTGCAAAAAGAACCACCCAACCCTGAGACCCAGGAGAGGGGGCCAGAAGTGTGTGCGGTTGGAGGTGGTACAGAGGGGGGGGGCACTGTTTGGGGCTATAAATGCTTAGTTTACAACTTGACCAAGGTCGAGCATCTCCAGGCCAATGTTGGGTGCTAGGTCCTCTATCAGGCTCCAGGAGCTTTCTGGGGGGAGGGAGAGACCTAGAGAGGTCAGAGGAGAGCTGGGCCAGACTCAGTGGTGGGGTTCTCTAAATACTCAGGGAGTGATGGGCTTCAAGGACAGAATTCCCTATCTCCCTGTGTCCCTGTCTCTCTGTCCCTGTGTCCCTGTGTCATAGCAGAAAGTAGTTTCAAAGACCTGTAGAGGCTCACCTGGCCACTGCCTGGCCAGTGCCCTCTGCTGGTCAGTGCATGGCCCAGCCATGAGGCTGCCTACACCAGTGGCGATTCTCATGCTGGTGACATTTCCCATACCCTCTGTATCTCCCATAATAGCCCAGGCGCCTCCCATCAGTGGGGTAGCTGAGGCGCAGTGGGTCCTCAGAACAAGTAAGGCTTTTGCTAGAGGGAGAAATGCTTCCTCCCCCCACTGTGGTTGACCCCTGTGTTTTCTGGAAACCCTTCCCAAAGAAACAACTTCCACTTGAACCCATCTGAACTGCTGCCAGGGGGCCCCAGGTTCAACCAGTCCTGTCTCAAGAAGCCCGAGTCACCTTCTCTCCCCTCCTCTTTCTACATCAGGACTTTTCTGAATACAGATGTCCCGTGGCAACCTTTCAGCCCAGTGCACCTGAGCTCCCAGATGACCTGATGCTCTGTCCCCAGAGAGAACTGACCGTAAGGATCAGACCCTTCCCTCAAGTCAGAGACCCAGGCACACTACAGGGAGGACCAGAAGAGGACAGCACCGAGGAGGAAGATGAGGACACAGATGACAGTGACAGTATCCAGCCCTACCTGGAACAATCCCTCTTCATGAGGGAGAAGCTCCAGATTATGGGGCACTTGGAGACAGCTGAGTCTGGGGTAGGTTCAGGGGGAAGTGAAGATTCATCTGCCTGGGACTCTTCGGACAGGAGCTGGTCCAGCACAGTGGACTCCTCCCTTAAAGATGAAGCTGGATCTTCCGACTGTTTGGACAAGAAGGAGCCAGCCCAAGAGCCTGATGGGGATGGGCACCAGGAGGTGCTCCCATGCCTGGAATTTTCTGAGGACTTGAGCACCGTGGAAGAGCTTCTGAAAGATGACTTCTCTAGGTGGCGAATTTGGGGTTCCTTATCCCCAAAGAGAGATCTGGTTCCTGGGGAGCCCCCAGTTTCTCTTCAGACACTGACTTTCTCCTGGGACAGCCACTCTGAGGGAGAGGAGGGAGAGGAAGAGGAGGAGGAAGAAGAGGAAGACGTGGATGCCTGGGAATCAGAACCCAAAGGCGGCATCACCGGCTGCTGGGACACCTCAAGCCTGCAGAGGGCAGAGGGCAGGGACAGGATGCTGGGAGATTATATGGCCAGGTGAGCTGGCCCTGGTGGCCAATCTAGTCTGGTATTGCTACCTCTACTGCACTTCCCAGGGACCAGAGACACCTCCAGGTCTCAAGAGCCATGTCCCTTCCCGAGGTAATCAAAGTCCTGGCGAGCATTTGTGGATCGCTCACGGGATCTTTGTCATTTGGATAGAGCTGTAAGATGTCACCATTTCCTATGGCCCACCTGCTGTAGGTGACCTGTGAGAGGGATAGAGCTGTGGTCAGAGACTAGTTGAGTTCCTGCTGCCCGTTGTCCCAGGGATGATAGACCTTACAGAAAATGAAACAGGAGAAGTGAAGCCAGGTGCTTGTGGACCCCAAGGATTGACACACCCTAGTCCATAAGTCATATATGGCACTGTACAAAACAGACCTCAGATCAAATCCCAGCTCTGCCATTTACTAGTAGTAACCTGAGCAAGCCACTCTCAGTCTCAATGCCTCAGTTTCCTCTTCTGTAGCTGTCACATGGGTATGGTGAGGATTTCAGGTATGTGTGGCATGAGGTCACCCATGTCACTTGTACTGTCTATGCACTAGAACCCTCCATCTGTTCGGACTCCTGGGAGGCCCCAGGCATCTCTCACCAGAGACCCCCTAAGACAAGAGTGACAAGAATACCTACCTTCTGATATGTCTACCCTCTGGGTCACCCCATTCCTTCCTTGTCACCTTCACATCTTCTAGTCAGGGGCTCCCTGAAAACAGAGTCCAATCAACTTTGCTTCCTTCTTGAGCACAGTTCACCTTCCAGGGGCCAGATTGGTTGACAGAGGCCAGAAACTGCCCTCCTGCCCTGATGGCCTTTCTTGGATGGCCTTGTGACAGTTTTTTGACTGTTGTGGTCATTGTGCGGTCTTAGTGTCTGAGAAACCAGTGTCTTTTGGGAACGGGTGATTGTCCTCTTTGGGGAGTGATGTGTGCCAATGGTTTACAGATGAGCATAGCTGTCACCCAGAGAACCGAAGTCTTTGTTGCTGAGAATCTAAACAGTCCTGGGCACTTTACTCCATGATGCACAAAAAAAAAAAAGACCCCACAACCGCTTTTATCCACGATGCTGTGCGGTTTTGAATCTGGCATAAAGCTGCAGCCTTACAGAACACATGTGAGGTCACCCCTTAAAGGTATCTAATCAGGGGTTCTCCAACTCACTCCCAAAGACCTTTGGGAGCCTGGGACCTTCCCCTCATTGAGCTGATCTACACTCAGTGGCCTTGCATAGAAGGTGTGTTGAGGGGGTTCACAGCTAACAAAAAGTTCTCAAAGCACTGTCCTCATCTCTGTCATGTTTCTAACAAGGGACCTCAAGTGCAGCATGGCAAGGCTCTTGTTGAAGTTACCTGGCAAGGCTGTCCTAATGACTTAATATGTGTGGTCCCAAGAGTCTCCAGAGTCGTCAAACTGACAGGAGGTCTTTGCCATCTCCTCTGGGACACACACACACACACACACACACACACACACACACACACAGCTACCTCCCTGGGATTTCCCTGCACTGAAGCCTGACCATGTCACTGAGGTCAGAAGAACACTGAGTATGCTCGAGGAAGACCATAGCACAGGAGCAGCTCCTGGAAATGTCCTGAGCTGCTCCGTGGAGGCACTGTCAGAAATCCTTTGAAATGATCTTCATAGCAGTGTTGTCCTCGTCCTCAGTGACACATGCTCACTGTCCTCGTCCTCAGTGACATATGCTCGCTTTCTCATTTGGAAAGCTTGTCCACACTTCCCAAAGCTTTCTCTCTGTCTATCCTGGGCCTTTTACTCATTTTAGGTTCCAGCTCCCTCCAGCCATTAGGTCATTGACAAAGAAGCTCACAGAAAGGTCATGAAGATCAACGCAAGCGCTCAGCACTTAACTTACATAATAGCCCTGTATGTACACAACATCTGGGGACTGCAAAGACATCAAGGTCTACGTGACTGCCTTGGGTCACAGTGGTGTGTGGCTTCAGCACACGGAAGCTATACACCTTTCTTATACATTCGTATTTTTGTCAAATTTTGCACTGTGTTTTATATCCTATTTAAATAATACTTTAATGTATGTCAGTATAATACCCAGAACCTTAAATAAAGAGATCTATTTTTAGAGAAAAAGCTGTAATTGCTGGGAACTAATGTGTACTCTGCTGTTTGGAATACATGGAGAGTCCCCAAAAGGAGACCAGGGGTCTGGGGGATACAGACTCCAGATGACACCATAAGGGAGTGGGGAATTGAGGTGGGGAGAGGGTAGCCAGTCAAGGTACAAAGTTAGACAAGTCCCTGATGCTGAAGATGAGGCCTCCACATCCCCGGGGAGCTTCTGATGTCAGTGCATGGCCTACCAGACTTGACCCTCTATCAAGGACAGGAACTGGAGGGCTCTGAGTGGCACTCATTGCCACGTGGAGATTGCATTTGGTTTGATTTTTTGTTTGTTTGTTTTGTTGTTGTTGTTCTTGTTTTTGTTTTTGAGACAGGGTTTCTCTGTGTAGCTTTGGAGCCTATCCTGAAACTTGCTCTGTAGGCCAGCTGGCCTCAAACTCACAGAGATCCGCCTGCCTCTGCCTCCCGAGTGCTGGGGTTAAAAGCGTGAGCCACCAACGCCCGGCTTTGGTTTGCATTTGAACCTAGTGTCTTACAGGCGCTAGACAGCTGCCTTACCACACTGAGCTATAGCCCCAGTTGCAGGGTATGGGCGGATTGAGCTCAGGTCTGCGGGTTTACATAGCGAGTGCCTCTGACCCCTTCTTATTTTTGAGACAGGGACTCTCTAATTTGGCTGTGCTGGCCTTGAGCTCACCCTACTACCCAGGCTGGTCTTGAACTTGTATTTTCCTGCCTCCGTTTTCCGAGTGGTTGGAGTGACAAGCCTGTGCCATGAGGTCCAGCCTCTCACACACACTGTTGGGATCCACATGCATGGTGTGAGAAGAGTGAACGGCACGGGTCTGGACCTTCGGCGCCACCTACTGCAATGGGGCTGGAGCTTGCGCACTGCCGTGGGAGCTCGCCCAGTGGAGATAGGGGCTCACAAAGGGACACGGAACAGCCTTGGTGTGTGTGGCCAGCCTTGCAACAGTACCCTCACTGCAGCAGCTCTCCAGGGATACTCCTGGGGACACACAGTGATTATGTGGCATTGCACCTGCAGGTGTCACCATAGACTGCCGCCCATCAGACCCCAGACTCAGCCCGCGCTGATCCGAGTCTCTTTCCAGTTCAGTCTTCCTGGCCAGGGAGCCCAGGAGGGGATGCTGCGGCCCCTCCCACCTCTGTAGGAGAAATATATATATATATATATATATATATATATATATATATATATATATATATATGCTTCCCACTCTGAGGGGTGGGGTGGTTCAGTCTACAGCAAGAATGGGGTCATTGGTGTGAGAAGCCACGATGTGCCTGGTGCCACAGAGGCCAGAAGAGGGAGGGCATCAGATCCCCTGAAACTGGAGCTGCCATGTGCGTGCTGGGAGTTGAACCTGGGTCTTCTAGAAGAGCAGCTAGTGCTCTAAACCACCGAGTCGCCTCTCTGTGTTCTAGTTTTAACTAAAGACGTTGCGATTCACAGGCACAGGCAGCGAACAAAGCAGACTGTGGGCAGGCTTAGGCGACTGTGGCCCGCTTAACTGATGTACCATCAGATCCTCCCGGAGAGCAGGGCAGGTCTTCCTTTTCTGAAGACCCTTAACCCGTCCCACCCTAATTCTGCCAGATTCCATGCTAAGCACCTGGAGCTGTATGCTGCCACCCTGTGGACAGTGTTGGGATGGCAGGACTGACAGAGGACTGTTCAACCTTGCTGTGACAAGGGGACGAAGCTGACACTAACTACATCAAGACCCAGGGTGACTCTTGACAATGAATAAACAAATGAAAGAAATAATAAGACCCCCTGGGTAGGATGTCTAGCAAGAAGGGGAAGACAGCCAGAATAAGAGAAAAGAGACTTTATCCCAAACAGAGAAATAGAGGAAGAGTTTCCGAAAGTCACCGGAAGTGATACCTGGGAAAGAGCTAGCAAAAAAGCAGAGTGACAGAGAGAAGTGAGGTGAACACAGGCTCAGCCATACCATCCCCACCGGAGAGGGGGATCAAGCCCCTTCTAAAAGCAAGCTGCCTGAGAGCTCGGCTGCCTTACCTTAGGACATGCCCACAACCCTCACAAGCTTCAAATCCAGCTACCGCCTTAGCAGTGTCCCCTGAGACCTGCGGCCTTCGAGCCATCGGCAGGAAAGAAATCCCAACTGGCCACACAGTCCTCAGAGAGAATCTATTGTTAAAATAAATAGATAAATAAAATAAAAGCAGACCTACTCCGGGTGCCTGAGATCAGGGTCTATCCATGGTAGAGAACAGAACCATCCACACCCCAAGAGAGGGGCCAGCCTATGTCCTACCTGGTACCATTTATTTCTAAGCTGCTCAACTCCTAACCTGTAGCAGCCCCCAGGTGGGGTAGAAAATAGGATTAACTCCTGAGTTTATACCTTATATCCTACCTGGTACCTTCACCAAACTGCTCAATTCAGAGACTCCCCTCCCCTCTCAAATCTATAAAATTATGGGATTCCCTGTGCTCTATGGGCTGCTGCTGAATCTCCTATCCCAGGTTACCCCGGAGGCATTACTCAAAAGTATTCCACTTAGAATTCATCCCAGCTCTTCTCTCTGACAACTCTGGAAATTTTAAAATAAAAAATGTTATTATTTAAGATAGCCCACAGAACCATGAGCATCAGCCTGGCCTGCCATGGCTGCTGGGGGAGAGATGGCTATGGGAGGCAGGAGACCAGATGCTGATGGGGCCCAGAGACAGGAGGCTGGGCTCAGAAAACACACAGGGAGAGAGCCTCACCCTGCAGCTGGGAACAAATCTTATCAACCGAGAGATGATAACTCTGATACTGAGACCAGTGGGTGCATCGGATTCTGGGCCCCGGGCCTGTTAATTTGCCTCTCCCTCCTCTAGCCCAAGAACTCTGACGTTCCAGGAGTGTACATGGTACCCATGGCAGAATTCCTCTACAGTGGTGGTTTTAAGGGGAGCCTTGGAAACACAAAGACTGGTCCTTTGCCCAAACCAACCTCAGTTTCTCACACTCCCAGCACACTTGGGAGACGCCCCACCCAAAGCACGAGCCCATGGATGCAGAGGAGGAAGTACAGCGCCAGGGGACATCAGTCCGGGTCAGGCTCCGCAGCAATATAAACCGATGTCAGTCCGGGTCAGGCTCTCGCAGCAATATAAACCGATGTCAGTCCGGGTCAGGCTCACACAGCAATATAAACCGTAAGAAAACTAAGAGCCCACATAACTGCTCAAGGGCTGAGAATCTGGGCCACTTGAGCACTCAGCCCTAAATGAGATACCTGTGTCAAAACCTGTGCCCAAGGCTCAAGGAACATCTCCAAAGAGAGGTAAAGAGAATGCAAGAGGAGTTCTGCGTTTAGGATGTGAAATAACCATTGCACTCACAAACAAACTGCAGCTATGGTGACCTGCACAAGATGGAGGCATTGAGACAGGTCACCATTCCAGCAGGCAGTGAGTTATAACTGAGTTATTAACAGAAAAGGGAGATGACAGGCAGGAGAGATGCTCAGTGGATAAGAGCACTGGCTGCCCTTCCGGAAGACCTGGGTTCAATTCCCATCACCCACATGGTAGCTCACAACCGTCTGTAACTCAGTTCCAGGGAACCTGACACCCTCACACCAATGTGCATAAGATAAAATTGAATACAGTACCTTAAAAAAAAAGAAGAAAAAGCAGATGACATGAAGGGGGTAGAGGGATGGTTGGGAAGGCCTGGGGGATAAGTTGGGAGTTGGGGATGCATGTGATCAAAACACATTGTGTGAAATTGCCAAAGAATAAACAAAAATTATTCTATGTCTAAAAAAATAAATAAGCACAGGCATTTCAAACAGCAACAAGAAGAGAAAGAGCACAAAAATTCAGCCAACCCTCCCTGGCATTTCTGATCTTTAAAGACCCAGAGAGAAACTGACTACACTGGCTAGTTTTATGTCAACTCGATATAAGTTAGAGTCTCCTGGGAGAAGGAAACCTCGGCTAAGAAAATGTGGCCCTAAGATCCAGCTGTGGGGCATTTTAAACTAGTGATTGATGTGAGAAGGTCCAGCCCACTGTGGACAATGCCATCCCTGGGCTGGTGGTCCTGGGTTCCACAAGAAAACAGGCTGAGAAAGCCATGAGAGCAAACCAGTAGTAAGCAGAGCTCCTCCACGGCCTCTGCACCAGCTCCTGACTCCCGGCTCCCGCCCTGCAGAGTTCCTGCCTTGGTTTCCCTCAATAGACTAAGGCTCCAGATGTGTGAGCCAGATAACCCTTTCCTCTCCATGTTGCTTTTGGTCACGGTGTTCCCTCAGCACCAGTGACCCTAACTAAGACCCGGTCCAGCACATCATCTTTGCAATTCTTTATTTCTCCTTGTAATTCTTTTTTGTCCCCTAGAAGTTTAGTAGGACTTTGACTTTAGCATATTTAAAAATGAAATGCCTTTATTGTTATTCTCCTCCAAGAGTACATCTAATTTGGCTTATGCACTTTTTTTTCCATTTGGCAACAACATTTTTTCCTTAGTTTTTCCCTCCTCCCCATTTTTTTTAACTTCTTAATCTTTTTAATCCCAGCACTCTGGAGGCAGAGGCAGGTGCATCTCTGTGAGTTTGTGGCCAGCCTGGTCTATGGAGCGAGTTCCAGGACAGGCTCCAAAGCTACAGAGAAACCCTGTCTCGGGAAATAAACAAACAAACAAAAGAATCCCAATGCAGAAGCACGAGACAGCACGGCTTCCTCAGGAGCTCCTCAATCCACAGTGGCCGATCAGACCCACTGAACTAGGTCAAGCGTCAGAGGATATAACGCACAAGCAGGTGAGACCCGCCCAGCTCCCAGGAAAGTCAACAACATCTCCGCCACCCCTGACATTTCCTCGTCTGCTCCTCCCAGTGCACTGGTGACACTTCCTACACGTTTATTAGTATTTAACTCATTTCTATTACCCCATCTCGATTTTCTTGCTGACTTTTTCTTCCACGTTGTTGACTTGCTCATTCATTTTGTTGACAAGAAA